TGTCTCTCCCCCACCCTTTCTCTCCTCCCCCTCCTCCCCTCTCTCTTCCTCATTCTACCTCTCCCCCTCCCCTCTTTCTCCTCCCCCTCTCTTCCCTCTTCTGCCCCCTTCCAAGGTGAGAAGGTGGAAAATTTCCATATTGACTCAAGGTCTTACATCATCCCTGCTTCTCTCCTCTGGGCACCCTTCAGCTCATCAATATTTGCCCTAAAATGTGGCACCGAGAGCTAAGAATGGTCCTGTAGAGGAGGCGTGGGTACAAATGGAGAGTCTGAGGGATGGTCACATAGAAGATGCATTGGGTTTGTCCTTCTTAGTCCTAGAGGCAGAACCAGGAAGGCTGGGAGAAGGTGGGGAGGGGCCGACTCAAAGGCAGTACAAGGAACAGTTTCTTAACTATGATTGTGGATCCCAAAGTGAAACAGAAGGCCAAGGGAAGCACCGAGTTCCCCTGCACTCCGGGTCTTCAATTGGAGGCTGAATGACCACTTTCTGTGGATGTTGTGCAGTAATAATCATCATCCAATCAATTAAATTATTATTAAGTTAACATTAAGGTTTAATTAAATGTAAATTAGTTGAATAATTATGAAAGCTAACCTTCATAGAGCACCTACCATATGCTGGGCACTGCGTGCTGTTTATGAGTGTTATCTTATTTGATCCCCATAACAACCTCGGGAGGTAGATGCTATAAGCTTCCCCATTTTACATATGAGGAAACTGAGGCAAGCAGCAGTGAAGTGTCTTGCTCATGGTCTGAAACCATATTTAATTCAAGTCTTCCTGATTCTGGGTGGCTCTAGCCACTTTAGCACTTAGCTTTTTCTGAGCTGTGATTCTTCTCAGTCTCTCTATACCCTACAATTCTGCCAGGATGAGGTCATAGGCTCGTAGAAACGAAGGGACCTTAGAAGTCTTGGAAGCCAGCTTCCATATTTTATGAATGAGGAAACTTAAATCCAGAGAGATTAAGGGATTTGCTCATGGTCACATTGATAAGTGGGAGACCTAGGATTTGAACCCAGAGTTGCTGTGTAACTCCATTGTTTCAGCCATGTCTGACTTTTTGTGACCCCATTTGGGGTTTTCTTTCCAAAGATACTGAAGTGGTTTGCCATTTCCTTCTCCAGCTCATTTTTACAGATGAGGAAACTGAGGCAAACAGGGTTAAGTGACTTGCCTAGGGTCACACCGCTAGTGAATGTCTGAGGCCAGATTTGAACTCAGGGAGAGGAGTCTTCCTGATTCCATATATTGTGCCACTTAGCTGCCCTGAAGGAGACTAATATAGAAAGACAGAGAATTACAGGAGGGAAAACACATCTCTCTTCTCTGAGACTTACTAGCTATGTGACCCTGGGCAAGTCACTCAACCCGCCATGGCTAAAAGTTACAGAGAAGGTGCTGACCTGCACTGTGGAGGGGTCTCCTCATGCAGGAGGACCTCATAACAGCAAAGCCATGGGTCTGGCCATTCCTATGCAGACAGATTAATATCCATGTTTACATGTGCATGTGTGTATGTATGTGTTGTATGTGTGCATGTATGTACACATGTGTGGTGGTGAGTCAGGACCTTCTCCGTGACTTACAGTCACCCAGAGCCTCAAGCGCTGAATTAACATGCTCAGAGCTCCACAGTTAAGCTGTGTCAGAGGCAGGATTGGAACCCAGATCTTCCTAGCTTTGGGACTGGCTCTCTATGGTCACTCTTCATCTACACCAAGTGCCGATGTATGTGTTTTTGACGGGCTCCAGAGATGGTCAGTGAGCTGGCTCCAGAACTGGATAGAGAAAATAGGCTGATTCATATTTAGGGAAATTATGCCATTCCCTCCTCCACCCCCAAGCTCTTTGCCACCACAAAACCCAGCTTTTTAACATCAGTGTTCTCCCTGTGATTTTATGTGATGGTTAATCACAAGCCAAAGGAACCGTGGTGTAGTGGAGAAAGAACTAGCCTTGGTGTCCAGCAATAATCCAGCAAGCCTCTGACAGCTCCTGGCTATGTGACCCTGGGAAGGTCACTGCCACGGCCCAAGACTCTGAGTATTAGAGTAGGCACCAGTCTGCCTAGATGGAGAGAGCCCCTCACTGAGAACCCTCACAGAAGAAACAAAATGTCCCAGAGAAGCATATGAATGGACAACTTGGTCTCAGAATAATCGTTAGAATGTCAGCTCTTTGAGGACAGGACCTTTCATTCTTTGTATTTGCAGTGCTTAATAGAGCTAGGCATATACTAGGTGCTAAATAAATGTTTGCTCATTGATTGAGTCAGAAATGGCAGATGTCCCTGATGAAAGACTAAGGTAGATATGTCAGTTGCAGAGTACCCCCAGTGTGAGAAGTGACCTGACAGGTGTCAAAAAGGACATAGGATCCTAGATTATGGCTGGGGAGGACCTTGATGGTCATCTAGGTCAACCCTTTTATTCTAGAGACCCAGGGAAGGGGAGTGACTTCACCAAGGTCACACAGATGGTAACAGAACCAGGATTTGAATCCAGGGTCTCTGATTCCATACTTAGTAAGCTTTCCCCTTTGCCTCATGGATATTACTATAAAAAGAGGTGGGATAGTCTTATAACCAGGGTAAGAGATAACAGATCAGTCAATCAATGGGATAGCATTTATTAAGCATTTATCATGTGTCAGACTCCATTGAGATACATCACGAAATAGTGGTCGAGAGCTGACCTCAGAATCAGGAAAATGTGGGTTTAAGTCTTAAGCACATATTTTCGGTGTGACCTGGACAAATCCTTTGACCTCTCGGAACTCTAGGTAACATTCTAAGATATAATGCCAGAACAGGGACTGCTCTGAACAGGTAGAGGGAGTTTACCTACAAGGAGCTCCCTATACCAATGAAATCTGGTTAAAAAAACAGGGCAGACATTGTTCTAGGTGCCGGGAATATAGAGGCAAAACCAACCCCTCTCCCAAGGAATTTACATTCTACTTGATTCTAAATATGTGATCTCTTGGGATGGATGGATGGATGGATAGATGGACGGATAGATGGATGGATGGATGGATGAATAGGTAGATGGATAAATGGAAGAATAGATGGGCAGATAGATGAATGAATAGATGGGTGAATAGATGGATGGATGGATGGATGAATGCTACAATAGCAGCCAGTCTCTGACAGCACTTTTGGGTCATCTTCCAGTCCTCATGACAGGGAAACGCCAGTCCGCCAGGTAACTTTGCCAAAAGGTGATCCAGTTGAAAGACAACTTCCCATCTCCCACTCTCATGCCCTGTACAGTAGATCATTCTGTGTTCCACTGTAATGCCTTTCCTTGGGTTTGGGTAAAAAGTAGGAGAGAATGTGGGCCTGTGGCCCAGGTGGGTCAAGTTGTGACCCGGCTCACCTTGACTCTTCTCTCAGCCCCACCTGAGGTCCTCAGAATAAAGGAAGTCCCATTCTATTTTTACAAGATCAAGTAGGAGGGGAGAGGAAGTTTTTCATTCACTTTCTGTTTCTCTTTTGGCCCTTCAGTCTCTGGTCCCAAGGCTTCTATTTCAGACCGTTCAGAGCCTTCTTAACATAGGTGTCTCTGGTTTCTGAGAAGTCTTCTCGATAGCTTTCCCATCTTCCCATTGGCTTTTCTCAGCTGGCTGCTAATGTGGGTCTTCAGTTCATGAATGTTTTTCTCTGGATGCAAGACACTAGAGATGGTCATTGGTGGGTCAGCAGCCACTTCTTACTCCTGCGTTTCTCAGCACAAGGACAAACTTTGCACAGGAACCAGGTAGACTAGAAGACTTCGAGGCCCCTTCCAGTGATAAGATTCTGCCATTCACCACAGGTCTTCAGACTAAGGTAGGATGCCCCTGTGTCGTGGGTGTTGGGGGAAGAAGGGGAATTCTCCCTCCCTGGAGGTCTTGGATGACCACTTACCAAGGATGCTGGGATCTTTCATCCCTTCTGGGTTGGGCTAGATGGCCCCTGAGGCCCCTTCCAATTTTGGCTTTTGGGGATTCTGTGGCTATAAAAATGTCACTGTCCTCAGTTTTTATTTTGGTCCAATTGACAGCCTCCCACCACCACCATTTTGAAAATTACTGTATACAATGTCAGAGCTGAAGCGGATTCTTCAGAATAATTATTCCTGCCTACCCTCCCCCCATTTTACAGAGGACAAAATCAAGGTCTAGAGAGGGCTTGTCCTATAGTTCAGACAGGTAGCAGCCAGGATGGTACACAGACCCAGGTTGAGACTCTATCTCATCCATTGCTCTTACCACAGGGCCACAATGCCTTCTTCACTGCACACACCACCAAGATCAGAATCTTGTGATCAGTCCCACGATAACTCGGATAATTCCAGCTGGACAAAGAGAAATCTGAAGGCCCCACTGACTGGCACTTCTGCCAAGAGTAGACAGGGCTTGTTTTCAATGGCAGGCTGCAGCTAGAGACCCTCCCCGTTCAGGAGCGAGGGCAAGGCACGAAACACAGGTGCAGACTCCCGAGGGGGACATGTCATTTCCAACGGGCTCCAACATAAACACGCCTGGGTGACGTCTGCCAAAACGGGGCAATACTTGTAGCTCATCTCTGAGCCTGACACAGAGGGTGGGGCACCTGCCCCGGAGATGCCCAGCTCCAGATAAGGTGACAAGAGACTTTGTGGGCAATGAGACCAAAGTCGGGGCTCTGCAGGAATAATGCCCGGCTGTTCTCTTTCCCCCCTCCACTCACCCCTCCTCCAGAAGGGGACAGCCCTTTGTCAAAGGACCAGCTCCTCGGTGGCCGTAGGTGAGCAGATGCTGTTTGGTCCAAGATCCAAATTAGCAAGTAGGCGTCAAGGTGCTGGCCGGGCTCCAGATGGGACATGCTGCTGAAATCAACACAAGCCTGTTGTCTCATCTGTGTGATGTCAGCATTGGGCAAGGCTCCTAGCTTTAGAAGGAACCTCAGAGGGGCCATCCAGTGCAACTCCTTCAGTTTACAGATGAGGAAACTGAGGCCCAGGAAGGCCAGAGAATCATTGCTTTAGAGCTAGGAGGAAACAAAGAAAGAAACTTTATTAATTTCCTATGTGCCAGGCACTGTCATAGGTGCTCTACAGCAACTCAGTGAATCTTGATGTGAACCCAAGCCTACAGAAATCTATGCCCGCCATCCTTTGTGCCTCAAAGAATCTGATTCCCTTTGCCTGAGACCCAAACAAGGACCCAGGGTTTCAGGATGACTCGAGCTGCTTCTTTCTCTGGGCTCTGGGTGAATCCAAGGCCAGCGTTCTATTGCCTCATCTCATGTACAGGAACAGATGAATGGCCCTACACAATGCCTGCCCTTATTCAGGCCACCGCTCTCTCAGCGCTCGCTCATGCAATCCCCTGAGCTCATTCCGGCCTCCTTTGTGAGCCGCTGTATTGTCAGCGGCTACCAAGAATATGACATCGACATAGGAAGTCGGAACAGATGAAGAGGGCAAGCCCAGGAGCCAGCGACACAGGCCGGCGGCCCCTTGTCTTGTTCCTGCACACAGCGGCCACTCAGGGAGTGCGGGCTGACTCAGAGTGAGTAATGGAGTCAACACTGAGCGTCATGCAGCAAACAGCTGGGCCCCACTCCACAGACACCCGCGCACCTTGACAGAGTCTCTGGGCTGAGGCATGAAGCAAAGAGCAGATTTGGGCTCTCCATGCACCCCTGTCTTTCAGAGGACCAGAGATCTAGGGTTAACAGGGACCTGGAAGACTGTCTAGTCCAATGCCCTTATTCTATAAATGGGGAACCTGAGGCCCAGGCAGGGTAAGGCACCTGTCTACAAGTCACCCAGTTGGTCTTAGGGGAAGGATTGGAACCCAACTCCTCTGACTCCAGAGGACTCCTCCCCACCACCCCTCTGTAGAATATAAACTTCCTGAAGGTAAGGACTGTTTCTTTAATATTTGTATCTCCAGAATGGTCCCCGGCACATAGTAGGTTCCTTTTTTAAAAACTGCTTTGTTTTAAGTCTGGGTCTCCCTGTTTCTCCCGGGCTGGGGGCAGCGGCCGCTCATAGGAGGCTCCATCTATGTGTGGGGGCTCTGACTTGTGCCGTGTCCCACCTGGGCTGGTTTGACTCTCCTTAGGTGGTCCGGCTCCCCCAGCCACAGCCTCCCCAAAAGGAGGGCTCACAAGAGCACATCAGCAGGCCCGGCCGTGTTGTGGGCTTTTAATAAGCATTTATTGAACTGAATGATTCTACTAACCCATCCCTCAGAGCTTTGAGCTCTCCCTCCAAAGGGAGATGGAGTCAAAGGCCCTCTATTCATTTCCCAGGTCTGCCACTAATTAGCTGCGGGACCTTGTGCAGGTCACTAGGACTCTGTGGGCTTCAGTCTCCTCATCTGTAAAGTGAGGACTTGGGGTAGATGGTCCCTAAGTTTCCATCTCCAAATCTACACTCTGATTATCCAGGTTCTCTCGTCCAATAGCTCAGGCAAGATGGCAGTCTAGCATCTGGACAAAGGCAAATAGCCCACGTGGGGATCAGACCCTTGTCGCACTTAGCCTGGATCACGTGACTCCCCTGCTCAAACACTGTTTACTGCTTTCTTTTAGCTGTTGGGTAAAGTCCAAACTTCTTAGTCTGGCATTCAAGGCCCTCTACAATCAGGCTCCAATTTAGCTTTCCCCACCCCTGAGAAACTAGACAATGCCCCACTTCTCAAACTTGCACTGCTCTTTCCTCCCTCCGTGCATTTGCCCACAGCAATTCCTATCCCTGGAATAAACTGCCACTGCCCCCATTCTCCTCTTTTGGAAGCCTGCAGCCTTTGGGATCCAGTTCCACTGATACCTTGTAGGACCACAGATTGAGATTTCCAAAGGACCATTGTATTGAAACCCGTCTTTCAAGAGGAGGAAACTGAGGCTGAGATCAAGTGATTTACCCAGGACAACCCAGCGAATAAGTGTCTGGGGCAGGATTTGAACTCAGGGCCAGCACTCTGCTGTAGCACTCAGAGCCTTTACTGATCCCTTCCCAAGTAGAAACAATATCTCCTCTTTGGGATTTCTTCGAGTACTTTGTACTTTTTCTATCCACGGATAATCCCATTATTGCTATGAGAATCCATGAGGATTGAGATCTGGAAGGGACCTTATCTCATCTAATCCAACCCCTTCACTTTACAAGATGAGGAAACTGAAGCCCACAGCAGGGGGGTCATTTGCCCAAGAACCCACAGGCACTGAGTGGCAGGACAGGGATCTGAATCCAGGTTCTAAAGGTAGTTCTTTTCCCACTGTGCCTTGATTCACGTACCTGGGTGGTTCTGCTCTCTCCTATCCCCCAAGGCAGTCAACACCGTACCCCCTTCAGAGAAGGCGCTCCCTCAAGGCTGGTGGACATCCTCTTCCGCTGCCTTTTTCTCAGGACCTACATGAGGTTTAATCGTCGGAGTTGGACTGGCCACTGAGTCCCACAACAAGAGACATTGCTGATGGCCTCGCCTGAGGGGCAAAGGCATGGAGGGACAGGGGAAAGGGAAGAGGGCCTCAAGGAAAAGGAGATCACATTCTTTTCTTAGATTAAGGGTCTTAGTCTCCATAAGGAGAAGGATAACACTGAGTCTTGGACGGAAGGGGGTCACTGGGCCTCTGGCACGATGATCCTCAAGCCACAGCAAAAGAAAGTTGGTCAGGCAAGGATGTCCCTCCCACCTGACCTGGTACACCCAGTCTTTACCAAGCTCTCGCCATACCTCCTGGCTGACACGGGTATTTCTGGGTACTTCACCGCCATTGCTCCATTGTTCTATGCGAAGTGGTGGGTTCTTGCTCAGGCTAATCTGATTGATGCCTGGACTCTGATGTTTTGGGCAGGGAAATGCCAGGGAATGGCTGGTGAGGTCCTTAGTTGATTAGTACAGGGCGTGGAGATTACCAGCATGGAAGATTCCAGTAAAGGGCAGGCGGGTCCTGGGGAGGGAGTGTAACAGCACCAGAAGTAACCGGCCTAAGGGGAGGCCAGGCTCAAACACTAGAGAAGGCTTTTGGACTACCACACTGGGTGAAGTGAAGTTGCTTTAAGACATCTGTAAACAACCATATAGGACTGGGCAAAATTAAATCTAACATTTCAATCCAGTGTGACAGCATTTCTTAAGTTTCTGCTATGTGTTAAGCACTATGTTAGAGATACAAAGATAAAAGAACAGTTCCTGCCTTCAGAATGCTTACATTCTAGGTGGGAGGGGGAGTCATGTTTCTCCATTTACATAGCTAAATAGATAAAAAATCTAAAGCCATTTTGTTGGGAGTAGCATAAAAAGGGGAATACCGACTGCTCAGTATGGTAAGAAGTCACCCTCATTTCATAGGATCAGAGATTTAGACATGGAAGGGACCTTTAACTCCTTCATTTTACAGATGAGGAAACAGAGGCACCAAAAAGTGAAATGCTTTGCTTTGGCTCAGACAGCCACAACATCAGCTAATAAATAAGGTAGCTGAAATAACAGCCAGTAAGAGCCTGAGCCAGGATTCAATCCACTGAACCCCCCAGCCCCCTCCCAAGTTAAGCCTATTAGCTCAGTCTCCACCCAGACACAGGGCATGGCTGAGGAAAATGGGACTGGCTCTAAGTTTTCTGTCTCTTTTTGCTTGGTCTCTGACCAAATTCTAAGTAAGATCTGCAGGGCCAGAGAGCCAGCGAGTTAAAGTTCACAAAGTGTGACACCCTGCAGAATTCCTTTGCCAGAGATGGCAGAGAGCCGAGCGAGCTCCCTCTGTGTGGGGTTTTCTCTCCCTTGTCAGCTCACCTCTCACCGCTTTCCCTTTAAGCAAGTGGAAGGGGTTGATGTCCTTGTGAAGGCCCTGTAGCTGCCCTTGGAGCATCTTGGGGGAGTTCTGTCCTTTGGGAACATGAAGCTGCCACCTCCCATCAAGGCTGCCATTTGTTCAGTGCGCTTTTCAGATCATTTGCAATTGGGAAGTACTTACCGCCCAACCACAGTTTCTGCTCAGGAGCACAGCACCAATTAGCCTATTAAGATATAGTTTGGTTTCTACATTGCTGGAAATTTGAATAATCTCCAAGATGAAAGGGCTCAAAAATTGGAGAGCCGGGAGACTGAGGGGACAGTGAAGGCTCTGGAATGAGAATTCTTACACATTAATGAGGTATGCAAATTCCTCAAAGAGCTCTCTCCAAGTCCACAGCAGTCTGTCCTGGTGGCCAATGAAGAGCTCCCAGGAAATTGTTCTTTGAGGGACTCAGGGAGCCAGCGGAAGAAACAATGGCCTGTGCTCCAATGGGGACTTTGGCCTGGCCAAGTTCTTCAGTCCTTGGTCTGCTTCGTTCAGCATTGGTTTGAAGAGCTGATTCTAGTACCTGTCCGATGGGGCTGACGCATTTGGGGGGTGAAGATGGGGAGGGGGAAGGCAGGTGTTTTCAGGACCAGGAGGCAGCAAGGTTCAAATCACTGGACTAGGAATCAGAAGACTTGAGTTCAAATCTTAGCTTACCACCTGTGTGATCTCTGGCAAATCACTTCACCTCTCTTTTTCCTTACATATAAAATGAGGGCATTGTACTAGGTGACCTCTAAGAAGCCTTGATAGGGAAGAGGGAGCGGAGCCAAGATGGTGCCAACAGCGATCTAAGGCCCATGTTTCAGTATGTTTCAGAGCACTGGAGTGAAAACTAAGTGAAGACCCACTACCAACATATACACACAGATCTCAGGCTGCAAGGTACCTGCCCTTTTGTGGAATAGAAGATGTGTAATGGTAGTGAGCGTCTCATTTTTGTCTGTGCATCCCTAGTTCTAACACGACACCTAGTGAGCACTTAAGTGGTCTTGAATTGGCATCCTCCCCTTGCTCAGTCCGACTTTTCTCCTTCCAGGCTACTGCTGAGGTTCATTTCAAGCCATAGTCTTCCAGAAGAGGGCTCCCAAGAATGATGTTACCCTCAGCATTCCTCGGGGGTGCCATGGACCCTGGCCACTTCCAGGTGAGGCGCTATGGACTTTGGTCACTTTTCTTAGAAAGTGACTCCTTCTAATGAGTCCTAATTCAGGCTCTGAATGAAGATTATGATTAGCATCTCACATTTACCCAGCTTCCACCCACCTTTCCCATACTGACTTCTTCTGGGCAAACCTTCCCTGAAAAAGGTTTTCATGTGTTATTCTCACCACGAGAAGTCTCAAAAGTACTTTTCCAGCCTTATATGTCATACAGACACACAGACACAGGCAGACACGCACACACAAACACCCTTCTCAACAGCTGCTTAGTGAAGGTATTCTTTCTTTCTCTCCTCAAACCCAGAGCTTAGCACAATACCCGGCACATAGTAGGTCCTTCATAAATGTTTGTTGATTGACTTACTCAAACACCCTGCCCAGTTCTAGACTCATGAATCATGCTCCGATCAGTTTTGTAGTGCCTGCATAGGTTGGGTCAGTCTTCTCCAGGAGACCTCACTCATCATCCCTGTAACTTTCTAGATCTACAATACAATCTCTTCAGGAGCTGGACTTCTCTTTACTTCTGAATTTGCATTCCCAGCACTTAGCGTGGTGATTACATAGTAAATGCTTAATGAAGGTTTTCTCGTTCATTTCACAGGACTACTCTTCACACACACCAGGATTTGTGGTCACCTGGGTTCAAATTCCAATTCTGGCACTTACAACCATGTGACCTTGGGCAAATCACTTAATTTCTCTGGACTTCAGTTTCGTAGTCCATAGAACGAAGGTGATGGAGATGACGTCCAAGGATCCTTCCAGTTCTAAATCTGTGATTGCATAATCCTATATTTCAAGCAGATTTGAACACTAGCCCCTGCCCTTCTTCTCCTGGGGTCTCTTCCCTCTGGACATTGACAAATGCCATTTCCTCATTCCCAGCATGTATCACTTCCTTGTCTCTGCCTTCTGAAATTCTTCTCCATCCACCAAGGCTCACCTCAGGTGTCACCTCCATGAAGCCTTCCCTGATTCCCCCATCCCCACCCCTTTCTCTGCTGCCAGTGATCATAGAGGCTTTTTCTGAATTTCAGCTTTGTCTCCAGCTCCTGTTCCTAGACATCATGACTATTTGTGCACTTGACAGCTGTCCCTTCCCTCGTTAGATTATAATCTCCCTGAGGACAAGACCAAGTCATTTTCTCATTTTGTACCTGGAAGAAGAATTCAGTGCCTTGCACGTGGTGGTTGCCTAAAATATTTTTTTTTAAATTAACTCCTCATCTGAATCCTGTGTCAGGTGGGGAATTATTCTTCCCTCCTTTTAGATAAATGAAAAAATTACCATTGAGCCAATCAAATAGCAGAGAGGGGAAAAAAGCAGCTTAAAATAATTGGGATTAGAACAGGACTTTTGACCCCTATTCTTCACGTAAGCTCTCTGATTCATGGATGACACCAGTGGAATATCGTTCTGGTATTTTCTCCCCTTTTTTTTTCTCTGCCTAATTTCATCCCATTTTCCCAGAAATGCTTTATCTTTCCTCGTCCCTCATGAGCCAACATGATATAGTGGAAAGAATGTTGGTTGTGGTTTCAAGGACCTTGACTCCACTTCCAGCTAGCCACTGATGGCTGGGTGACCTTGAGCAAGGACCTTCCTCTCTCTGGGCCTCAGCTTCCCTACCTAGAAATGAAGGGCTGGGACTAGATCCAAGTCTCTTAACCTGGGGTCCGTGAACTTGCTTTTAAAAATTATCTTGATAATTATCCTTTTTTCAATCTAAGTCTTTTCCTCTGTAAGTCTATATAATTTTTTTGCATCTAAAAACAGGATTCTGAGAAGGTACCCATAGGCTCCCCCCAACTTCCAGAGGGGTCCAGGACACAAACATGGCTAAGAAACCCTAGATTGGATGATTCCTCCCAGATCTTTGTCCTATTCAGAATTGCCAACAACTGGATAAAACTGGGTGGATATTTATCTTTCCACTGTCTGCAGAAAAAAAAAAAAGATAGATTAAGGAAATTCAGATGAATGAAGATTGTAGGAGTAATGTTTGAATGTTTTCAGATAACTTTTTTCAAGCATTTTCATCCAATCCCCATCATTTCGATGTGGAAGGCACCTTCAAGATGATTGTGTCCTCATCCTCACCTTTACAGATGAGAAAACTGAGACCCTGAGAGGTATAGTGTCTTGTTCCAGGTCATACCCTAAGGAAGTGGAAAGGTTGGACCTTGAACCCACTGTACTACCCACTTCCTTACAGCAGCAGCAGTACCATAATTAACAGTAATGGTGCCCTGAAAGGCAGTGAGGCCTAGCAGGGAGGGGGTTGTCAGATACATTTTCACAGCTTCTCTCCTACATACATTCCCTTTCCTTCACCAGTGCAGCCAACAGCCCTGCCTGGACTATAGCAGCAGCCTCTTAATCAATCCGTGCCTCTCCAATCCATCTTCCACTCAACCACCAAAGGGATTTCCCTAAAGTATGGCTCTGACCATGTTGCTGTCCTCCTCAAAGGACTCCAATGGCTCCCTACTACCTTTAGGTCTGTCTTTGAAGGCCCTTCCCAACCTGGTTCCACCTTTTGATTCCCCAGCACTTGGCACCATGCCTGGCACATTGACCAATTTGCTGACGGATGGCTGGCTTTGGAGACAGTAGACCTGGGTTCAAATCCCACCTCTGACATTTATTACTTCAGTCATTTCATTCTAATTTAGGACTAGTCCTTTAGCCTCTTAGAACAACTCTCTAAGACTGATCTACAAAGTCAGAAGTTGAGATCTGCCTGATGGAAGGAGCTCTTCTAGCTGAGGAGGTCCCGGAGCCTTCCTGTAGTTTCATGTTATAATTCTACCATAAACTCTGTGCTATCCACCATTTCTGGATTTTATAGCCCTGGCTCTGGAGTTTGGATTCTGCCTCTGATGGGACCTTAGACAAGTCAGTTAGTCTCTCTAGGCCTCACTTTCTTCTGTGGAATGATTGATAGGAAAGGATTTGATGGGCTCAGAGGTCCTTTCCAGCCCTTAGCCCTGTGAACCCTGCTCTTAACAGCTCATGGTCCAGTTGGAGAAATGGGACACAGAGATTGTAGAGAATAAGGCTTAGAGCTAGAAAGGACTTTGGAGGTGATCCCTTCTAGGCGATGTAACTAGTGCAGGGTAACCAGGGCACTAACACCCAGCAGGTCATCCTTCCTCCCTGACAGCCATTGCCACATTTCATCTGTCTTCCCTATTCTTATATCACATGGTATATCCAACCATAAGCCACCATCCCTAGGGTCCTGTCACTAATACCCCTCTTTCAAGGACTGCCTTTTCTCCCCTCCAACTTCCATGGAAGGTCATAGATTTGGGAGGCATGGGCTACCCTTTCTCTCAGAATGACCATAACTGTCACTCCTATCTTCTGCCTCATTACTGTGCCCCCTATCCAACTAATTTTGCCTTAGGCACAAAAACCATCATTCATAATGTCTTTGTCTAGAACAGGGGTTCTTAATTTTTGTGTGTCAGAGACCCTTTTTGCAATCTGGTAAAGGTTATGAACCACTTCTCAGAATAATGTTTCTAAAGGAACTGCTAAATTTTTGTGAGATGTTAATGAAAATAGAAATGTAACTTTTTCCCACCCAGATCCTAGGCTTATCTCAGGCATTACGTTACCTGAGTGACTGTTGTACATCCCCGGAGGAAGTTTCCACACTGAAAACTCTCTACATTAATGAAGTCACAAACTCAGCCTCTCCACTTCTTCTCTCTGCCAAAAAAAAAAAAATATTCTCTTAGAAAAATCCAACTCTATTCAAATGAAGAAAAAAAGATTTGTAAACATATGTTGTGAAATATGAAGAATCTGGGGATTAACTGACCACTCTAGTGATTATGAAAATGGCAGACTATTTTTAAAAAGGGGGATTTTTCACCATCCTTCATTAGGATCTGATTGCCTCGCCCATTAGCATTTGCCTCTTTGATTATCTTGCTTGCAAAATGCCGTAGATATTCACATTAATGGACAAAGAAAGTGGACGTGGTGCTCTTGATTAAACTCCTCCATAATCATTTGGAATAATTCTTCTTCATTCACAGAGTGAATTGTTTCTATGCCCTCGAATAATAATAATGTACATTGAGGTTCAGTAAATTAGCATGAATATTATCCACCCTGGGGATGAGCTTCCACTTCGAAGACCATGGAAAAAAATTTGGTCCGGATATGAAGGCTCAGGTGAGTGATTGGAAAGAAAGATAACTTCTTGGCACATTTCAGCATAATGTTCTGACATTACCCTCCATATCTGAGTTCAAATAGTTGCAAATACAGACATAAACAGAAATGAAGCTGCTTCCCCCATCTCCCTCCAATGCAATTTTGCTTGGGATTAGGGGACAAGACTGTTGAGTTTAAAATGTGGTAGTTAACTGATGTAGAAAGAGAAAATCTGGCCGAAGTTCCAAGGTCTTTTCCTAATATCCAAGTCTATTAGAAGGTGGAGAACGCTCCTGAACTTGGAAGTCAGAAGACCTGAGTTCAAATTCTAGCTGTCTTTTCTCTAGGACTCGGTTTTCTCATCAGGAAAATGAGGGAATTCTGCCCAGGGACCCATCAGGTCACTCCCAGCTCTGACATTCTATGATCTAGAATAGCTTCCCACTGGATCGCTGTGTTCTTCAAGGGCCTGCCCAGCTCAAACATTTGGCGATTCTGTCATGATGAGGTAAGAAGCTGTGATTTGATAGGCCGCTCTACAGAATGTGTTCTGATGTCCAGATTCTTGATGCAGAGGGCTAGAATTGTCACCGCTTCCTGGTCCTTCTCCTTCAGCGTTCTCTTCTCAGGTGCCAACAGTAACATCGAACCAGAAACTGAGGCCAAGAAGGGAGCTTGGGGTTCCTCCATTCCAACCTCTTCATCGTGGATGTGGAGCCTGAGTGACTGGCCACGCTGCTAGCAGCAGAGCTGGGGCTTGGGGTGTTCAGCCTGGGGAATGGAGGACTTGGGGGTACATGATAGCCATCTTCCAGTACTTGTTGTTGTCCTTGGTCAATCACCCAGTCCCATCCAATTCTTTGTAGCTCCATGCACCCGCAGCATGTCAATATTGTCCATGGGGTTTTCTTGGTAAGATACAGGAGTGGTTTGCCATTTCCTTCTCCTGTGGGTTAAGGCAAACAAAAGTTAAGTGACTTGCCCAGAGTCACACAGCTGGTGAGTGTTTGAGGCCGGACTGGGACTCAGGTCTTCCTGACTGTAGGCCCAGTGCTCTATCCGCCAAGCCACCTAACTGCATCATCTTCAAGGATAAGAAGACCCATCTCCCACAAGAGACATTTCTCACAAGAAACAGCCTTGGTTCTGTTTGGCCTCAGAGGGTAGACCTAGGACCATTGGGTAGAAAGGAAAAGAAGCCATTTGAGGCTTGAGACAAGAAAAAGCCCCCAGACACTGTGCTGCAACCAGATTGTGTCTATTCCCTAAGTCCACCATTCTGTCTCTTGCTTTCCTGCATTCAACATTACACTTGCAAGCTCATACACACATGCACACACACACACACACACACACACACACACACACACACACGAGTCACTGATACACATATACACACTCTTACATACATACTCACACACAGTTACACACATACACCTATGCATAGTCACACACACTCAGTCACACACATATACACACACTCATATACAAAGCCACACATACACACCAACATACTATGCCATATATGCACCCACATACATTAATCTTAATGAAAAAAACACTTATTCATTCTACCAGCTGACTTCTTAAAGGAGCCAGATCCTTCTTTCTGACTCCTGGGAAGCGTCAGACAAAGTTAAAAGGATTTATTCACCCTTCATGGCCACAGTGTGCCCATCTACAATGAGAGATGGACAGGTCACCCAAAGCCACATGTGTCTCCTTGTCCTTCCCCACTCTTAAGTCTTCACAAAGAAGTCCTGTGTTAGGATGGATAGGGCATTGGACAGCTTCAGGAGGAGCTGGGATTGAACTCGCCCCTCAGGCCCTTATCAGCTGCATTATTTTAGACAAGTTATCTAAACTCCCTGGGCCTCAGTTTCCCCATTTGTAAAATGGGGAAGATAACAATAGCCCCCAACTACACAGGCCTGTTGGGAGTAACAAATGCCGTAATGTATGTGAAGCAGTTTATAACCTTTAAAGCACTATGTCAACACTGTGACTTCATTATTATTGTTACAAAGCAAAGAAGGAGGTTCTAGGAACATCCAGCTGATTCAGTCCCCCCAAATTCCATTCTCACAGAAGCTCCATATGATGTCTGCAGAGGAGAATTTCTCCATCATGGTACGGCTGTCTAGTTGTCTCTATCTCCCTGCCCCCGGCATTCTTCTTCCTGTGCTGAGCTTTGCCGGAACTAGAAATTAAGAGCCATCAAAACATAATTGGATTTAGAGCTGGAGAGGGCCTTTGAGATGATCTAGCCTGCCCCCAGCCCCTCATTTTACAGATGGGGAAACTGAGGATCTGTTTCGTCTTCTGTAGAACTTGCCCAAGGTTACCTGGGTAGTACAAATCAGCTGAGGCTGGATTCAGACCCAGCACCATTTCTAGTCTACTGCCTCCTGGTTCTCTCTCAGAGAGGGTAAGTAAGACGAAGCATTTACCAAGGGAAGTTACAAGGGGAAATTGCCTATGTGAACATCAGAGGGAGCCCTATGTGGTGGTGGAATGCTGCAGGAGAGTGAGACCGTCTTGCACAGTCCTTCTTTTCTCTCCCAACTTTCTTGGTCCCTCTGTGCTCTGTAAATGCCCTATAGGCCACACTTGTAAAAAAAAAAAAAAGAAAAGAAATCACCCCCTTCAGACATTTCTATCATAAATGGCTCCTCATTTATCAAGTCAAAGACAGGGCCTCACTCAGTTACTGGCCCTTGGCTCAATCCCCAGCCTGTGACAGGACGTCCAGGAGGACCAGGGGTTGGTTTTCCAGCTCTATAAAGGGGTAGGATTGGCCACTGTGGAGGAATGAGTCGCCCTGTCGTGGAGAAGACAAAGGACCCAGGAATCCCAACATGTGAAGGAGAAGGAGAGCTTGGCAGAGCTGGGGCTTGGCTAGCTCAGGGGTGGTATCTCTGGAGGACCACCCCTTCTCCTCATCATGATTTCCCATCAGCCTAAAGGCCAGCACAGCTGAGGTTCTGGCAACTGGCCCCAGCAGGGGCTGAGCCGTAGACGTTTTCTTTGCCCTGAGCCCCTCTTTCCTTGATTCTCCTGCTCAGGGCCTCGGCCTTTCAGTTTTAACCTTTCTCCTGTTGAACTTTGTGGTGCCTCCTAATCAATGTCAGCCAACAAGTATTTATTAGACAGCTGCTGCATGCCTAGTATTGTGCTAAGGACTAGAGACGGAAAGGAGACCAAAGCACGTCTCTGCTCCCAAGATCACGATTCAATAGGGGAGACAATGTGCAGCCAACTTGGGGCAATGACAATGTTTGCAGGACAAATTGGAGGTCATCCACAGAGGGAAGGTACTGGCAGTGAGGGAGAGTGGGAAAGTCTGTCTGTAGAAGGTGGGATTGTGGCTGGGACTTGAAGGAAGCCGTGGAGGCCAAGAGGCGAAGATTAGGAGGGAAATAATTATAGGCCTACAGGATGGCCAGTGAAAATGCTCAGTCAGGAGATGGAGTGTTTTGGGCAAAATACAGCAAGGAGGCCATTGTCACTGGATCACAGAGGGGAAGGTTTGGGGGCAAAATATAACAATTACACTTTTGGACACATCGAGATGGAAGAGTCCATGAGGCATCCAGATTGAGATGCCCAGTAGGCAGTTGAAGATATGAGACTGGAGATCAGCAGAGTGATTAGAGCCAGATAAAAAGGTCTGGGAATTACCAGCATAGAGATGATCATTGAATTCATGAAAGCTAAGAAGATCACCTAGTAAAACACCATAGATGGAGGAGAGGACCCAGGGCAGAGCCTTTGAGGACACCCACGAAAGAGAACCAAGTATTTTCACAAAATCCTAGAGAGAGGTATCAGTGAGAAGAGGGTGAAGGACAGTGTGAAAAGCTAAAGAGAAGGGGCAGCTAGGTGGCGTAGTAGATAGAGCACTGGCCCTGAAGTCAGGAGGGCCTGAGTTCAAATTTGGCCTCAGACCAAACACTTGACACTTACTAGCTGTGTGACCCTGGGCAAGTCACTTAACCTCAATTGCCTAAAAAAAAAAAGCTGAAGAGAAGTCAAGAAGGATGAGTATGGAGAAAGGGCCATTAAATCTGGCAACTGAGATCATTGGTAACATTGAAGAGAGCAGTTATCCTTAAAACCATGATCCTATGAACAGAGTTTGCCTTGTTCACAATTTTGCTGAGTGCCAAGCCTTAGAAATGATGGACATGGACTGATGGGGAGGGAATCAGAACAATGGAGTGACCAACCACCGAGATCCAGAGGACCAATGGTGAAGCATGTTAATCCACCTCCTGAAAGAGAGGTGATGGATTCAGGGCATAGAAGGAGACACCAAGTTCTGGGCATGTCCGATGCAAGAATGTATTTGGCTTGGCTAGGCACGTTTGTTACAAGAGTTGGGTTTGGGTTTTTTTGTTGTTCTTCTTTATTTTCATTGAGGAGTGGGGGAGGTAGGAGGGAAAGATTTTTTATTAACGGAAAAATTATTTTTTAAAACAGAGAATAAGCAAGTGAAGAGAACAGTTACTGTAAAGAGCCCAATATTTACAACTCCAGCCTGCTGAAGAACTTTTGGAGTGAGTAGTGCCACCACAGCCCCTACCCCATTTCAAGGCCTCTTGAACTTCTGGCCTTACTGTGGGGTCTTGGGACAGAGGGGGCTTTGTTGCTGCTTTGTCCCAGGCCTAAAGAGCAGCTGCAAATGTGCCAGCTTCCTGGATGTAACACTTCCCTACTGTGCCTGTCCCTAGGCCCTCTTGGCCTCACTGCCTTTTGTCTTCTGTGTTTAATTCTATTCCCACTGAGCTGATTCCCTAATTTGCTTTGTCAACAGCTGCTCTCAAGGAATCAATGCTTCCTGATTGCCTGATCTTGGATTCCTTTGCCAGCCTGGCTTGTTATTCCCTGTTCCACTCCAAAATGGCAGCCTCGACTAGATGGAAGAGCAATGGATGTGTCATCAGAGGATCTGGGTTCAAGCGCTGACTTTTTTGCTTGCTTCCCATAAGCAAGTTAACAGCTTCCTTGCTTCCTTGGCAACTTGCTTGAGGAATTTATTTTTAAAAATGGGGAAGGGAGCATGTTGACTGCGATGATGAAAGTTGTGATCCCAAGAAAAACTAAACCATAGACCCAGAGGACCTAGACCATCACACAGGACAATGACTGATGAGTTTAATTATACTCTGAACCTGGGTCATAAAGAAAAGAGGCTTGTTATGGGATCATACTGAGAGTCTGCCCAGTGACAGCATGTATTTGTGTGTGTGTGTGTGTGTGTGTGTGTGTGTGCATGCACCACACACATGTGTGTGAGAGAAAGAACTGGTATAAAAGATGCCCTCACATGAACAAACAATGCTCAAGGACTAGACAAGGATAAAGCACTTCTATTCTAGCAGGGAGAGATGATGCGCAGGTCTCTGTGAGGGCACCCAGCATCTGAAATTGGAGAGAGTCTTGGAAGTGGCTTTGCTATATCTTGATGATCTCAAGTGAAGCATGGAAGGGGAAGAGAAGAGGAACACACAGGATAGGATGGCAGAGAAAAAGGAAGGGTCGGGAAAATCAACTCATGTAATCAGGATGTACAAGGATACATCTATACAAAGAAGTGCTAGAGGGAGCGGTGGTCACTCAAAGCTCACTCTTACCTGAACTGGTCAAAGGAGGGAAGAACACACACACACACACACACACACACACACACACACACACACAGAGCACAGAGTTGGGCACAAAAATACATTTCATTCAACAGGAAAATAGGAAGAAAAGGTGAGAAGGGAGAAAGAGGAATCAGAGGAAGGTAAGGATTATTCTTAAGCAAAATAAACTCAAAGCAAAGATGTATGAAAATATTTATGATCTTTTTGAGGCAACAAAGAATGAGAATCTAAGGTGGGGGGCACTGTCAATTGGATAATGGTTGAACAAGTTATGTTATGTAAATGTGATGGAATATTATTGTGCTGTAAGAAATGATGAGGGAGATAGTTTCAGAGAAACCTGGGAAGACTTACATGAACTGATGCAGAGTAAAGTGAACAAAACTGGTAGAATAAATTATTTTACACACACACACAGACATTCTATGGGGAGAAAATGACATGTACACATATAAGTAAATTCAATATAAGGTAGACAGCATAGTATAAAAATGAATAGAGAGCTGGCCTCAGAGCCAGGAGGGTCTGGGTTCAAGTCCTGCCTCCGATATATGATGGCAGTATAATTCTGGACAAATTATTCTACCTCTCAATGCTCTAGGCAGCTCTCTAAGAGCGGAAGTTGCAGATAAGATTGGTGGAGAGATTTGTATCTGGGAATTCCCTATATTGATCAAATCATAGGTCTAATACCTATTTCCTTCCCTAAGTATAAGGCAATTTTATGGGAAGAAGGAGGACTCCAACAGTTTTGGCTGGGGAGGAAGGGGCCAGAGTGGTGAGGGAATAGAATGGAAAATCATTTGTCTAGTGCTTATTACACGTACAGCCCTGTGTTAGAGTCACAAATAAAAAAGCAAGACAGTCTTAAGAATTTCACATTCTAATTAGGGGAGATAACACATATAGGAAGTTCCAGCTACAGAACAATGGAAAGGCCTGTTTATTCTCAGGCTATAGGAGCAGATTGGATGACAAAGCCAGTAATCTTTAGGGTGCAACCACAGGTTATACGGCAATGCCCTGGGGTTTAGAGGACACAAAGTCAGGGCAGATGGTAAGGCCTGGTGGGCTGGAGGGAATAGTGAACGGGCAGATGGTAAGGCTCAGTGATCCACCAGCTTACCCAAAGAATTATAATTGTTGATTTCTTACTCAAACAAGTGGTATGAACAAAACCTGTTGGGCCTGAGGGCCAAATTAGAGTTCAGCATCGGGTTACCTCCAATGGGGGACAGGATGGAGAAATGGGCACGGTTTCATAAAGGAGGTAGAGTTTGAACTGAGCTTTGAAGGAGTCTAGGGATCCCAAGAGGCAGAAGGTGGAGGGAGCACACTCCACGCACAGAGATTGGAGATGGAACATCAGGTGTGAGGAACACCAAGGACAATTTGGCTAGACCTAGAGTGTGTGAAGGGGGAGGGGAGCTAGGGAATGTGCAGTAGATCTAAAAGGATACATTGATGCAGGACTGTGAAGTCCTTTAAATGGCAGCTCTTCACAAATGCAAAAAGTACTGCAATTAATATTTCATTGAATATGGCACTCAGTCAAAAGACTGCACCTAAGGACCCAGAAGTCCACATGTGGCCCAGGGGCCTCAGGTTCCCCATCCCTCACCTTTCCACTACTGTTACCACCCAGGTCAACAAATAGCAGCTTCCATTCCACTTAGAGGAGGCTAATCCCCAGCCACCAACTCTTCACTCCTTCCCCTGCCCCCTTCTGGATTATCTCCCACTGCTTCTTGAGGCCGGCTGATGGAGAAGAGAGCTGAACTGGGAGGCTCAGGTACTTACCAGATGTGTGATGCTGGACAAGTCGCTCCCATTCTCCGTGACTCAGTTTCCTCAGGTACAAAAGGGTGCTACTAGCTCTATCTCACAGGACTTTTGTAAGGGTCAGATGGTGCATGTGTTTGCAAATCTCTAAGCACTATTTGAGTATTAGCCATTACTATTGTTTCTCCTAAGTCATCCAGCGCCACCCTCATCAGAAGGACCCTCAATTATATTTTTCTTAGCTCCAGTTGTCCTTGGAACCCTCCTCCTTCCTTTCCTCTTCCGTTGGACATTCTTCAGCTCTCCAAACTCCTGAAACACATCATTCGTCTCTCTAACCCTTTGGATCCCCATTCTCCTTGGTTCCCAGGCCTCAAGATGTCTGACTTTTAACAGACCATTTCACTAGCCCTGAAAACAGTAAAACAGTAAAGAGAGGTGACCCCCAAGCACCTTTACCTTCCACCTACACTTGGCGCCAGTCACTTGGCCATGGTGGAGAGCAATCACCCTCAAAACAAGTCTGAAAGTTCTGCCTGCCTTCCATTCTTACCTGTATTTTTCACCTCCTCACTCTTTCTTCTGCTTTGTAGATTTACTCCTTTTATTCCTTTTATTAACTCTTAATCACTTGGCAGCCTCACCTGCCTTCCACAGTCTTTTCCCATTAAATTCTAAAGCTGTCTTACTAATTCATTTTATTTACATTTCCTCATCAGCTGCCTTTTCCTCGAGATCTCCTCCTCCTTCTCCCCTTCCATCCTTTTCCTTAGTCCTCTTCCTCCCCTTTTCCCCTGCTCCTAGGAGCCAGGGACTGGTTTTCAGTTCTTATTTCTAGCTCTAGGGATTGGTACATAGTAAGCCTTGATAAATGTTTCTCTTTCAGCCCAAATCAACCTCTTTCCCTTTTTCTTCAAATTGTGCCAAATTTCTCTTCCTGAAGTTCAGCTTTCTTTCAAGTCCAAAGCCCTCCAAATCATCTTCAATTTTTCCCTCTCCTCCTTATTCATCTCAACTCTACATCTTTCTCCGGCCCTTTTGTCACACAGCCTCTTCCTCTGGAAGCCAGAAGTAGAAAGTTCTAGGAGATGGACTTTGGGCAGCATGGTAGACTGAGGGATATTTTTATTCCTGTCTTGTGCTTCTACTACGCTCTGAGGACTGAGAGCCAGAAGGTATCTTAGAGAGTATCTATTCCAGCTCCTTCATTTTAACGCTTGAGAAAACTGAGGCCCGTAGAGGAGAATTGACTGGCCCAAGGTCACTCCTTAATGCCCAGTGGATGTTAAGACCATCATTGGACCAGAAACCTTGTTCTGGGGTCCTGAGTCTTTCTAATCATCTTTCTAATAACTCTTTATTGTGATTATTTACTGCCAAATGTTCTGCAATAACACAATCCCCAGCCGTGGCTTTGTAAATACCTCATTAACCATAAAGGTTCACAAATCATTAGTGTATCCAAAGGAAACCAGATACAAAGGTCCTGTAAGACACTGTTGGGAATCACGGAAGGAGAGAACATTTGGTGATAATCAGGATTAATTTCAGAGAAGGCAATCCTGCTGGGCTTAGAAATGAATAAACATGGAGTGTAATGAAATATTTGCAGCATTTTTCTCATTTTGTGTGGAGGGAGTTATTTTCCCTACAAGATGTGAAGATCTCTTACAGAAATATTAAATAGTATTCTTATAATTGCAATGGGGAGCAAATCTTCCAGCAACCTACGATTTAAATTGAGTTTTACTCTTCTCCATTCCTCTCTTCTCACTTGCAAGGTAAGGGAATGATAGCTTTGGCAGCCTTCAAAAATGGGAACGTAATAATTGCTTGGGAAGCTGGTTAGCTGCCATTCTATCCAATTCATTCCAACTAGCATTTATGAGGCATCTACTATGTGTGAGACACCATGCTAGGCACTGAGGATGCAAAGACAAAACCAATATAATCTCTGGCTTCCAAAGACTTCCATTCTATCCCAAAGATACAAAATGATGGTTCCTATCTATGTGACTTTGGGAATGGTGCTTCATTTAATTTCCACATCTATAAAACCTGCTGGTTGGCCTAGATGGCCTCTTTGGTCCCTTCCGGGTCTAAAGCTATGATTCTGGGATCCCAAGTACACAGATAAATAAATACAAGACATAAACAAAGCTCAGTGTGATTTCAGTTGCAGGGAGAGAAGTAACAAGGAGGAGGGGGAAGGGGTCCGGTAATGAGCTAGCCTTGAGCCAAGCCTTGAAGGCAGAGATGAGGACATCGGGCATTTCAGGGGTCGGGGATATGGCCAGAAACGAGAGAGAGAATGCCATAAACAGCACACAGAAAGTAGACTGACCTGGCTAAAACATCGACCGTATAAGAGAAATTGAGAGATCAGACCTTAAAGACGACAAGCTCACTCCGGATCATGAAGGATTGATGCTAATCAATGGGATCTGTGATTTGTTCTAGAAGCAAGGAGCCTTTAAGCATGCTAGGCTCACCTTGCAGCAGAGAGAAAGGGCCCTGGATTGACTCAGCACAGGCACACACATGGGGTCTTCTATTTACCGCCTGGATGACCTTGAGCAGCCACTCCTGTCTGTGGGTCTCAGTTTCCTCATCTGTAAAATGAGGGGATTGGGCCAGATGATTTTCGAGGGCCTTCCCAGCTCTTAATTCTAGGTTGTTATTTAAACCTCACACACTCTATCTACATTACAAACTGAAGGGCTTGTTTTCCCACCTCATTCAGGTGCCTTAAATGCAGGCAAAGACTGCAAGTTGCTAAGAGATTTCCAGCAACCCCTTTAGTTAATGAGGGCAGTGGAAATTGAAGCCTGGCTATGCTTGCCATATCCCTTTTTCCCATGAAGCAATAGGTGCTCCGTGTTCCTTCAACTTGCTGGTCTGGTAGGATTTCCGGCTCCTCATGGAGGGGAGCTGTGCTGACCAGACGAAACTATTTGAGATTTAATTTGGAAGCAGAAAAGTGGACTTAAGCTGCAAAGAGTTGGGGAGATGAAGGCAGCCCTCATTCCTTTCTCGTAACTTTTCAATGCTGCCTGACAATCAATCCAATTTAATATAGTCCCTTGAGAAATGCACTTTCCTTCTGAGAAGGAAGCTGCTGAGTGTCAGAAATCCTTTGCAGGCAGCTTACATCTGAGGGTGGGAAAGAAGAGACAGGTGTGCTGCCGAAAGATCCACCCATGAGTGGCACCCTGAGAACAGAGCGGCTAGGCGCCCGGTCACTCGTGCTTTCTGGCCTCATGCTATAAGAACTGATCCTGAAAGACATGTCTTTCTAAAGTTTCATGAAATGTTCTAAACAAAACCATGTTTACCAAAGATAGAAGTGAAAATAATAGATTAAATGATGAAAACACAGCATTTGGAAGTCAGAGAAACTGGTTTTAAATTTGGCTTCTGTTATTTGAGATCTATGTGACCTTGGGGGAGTCTCTTTACCTCTCTGAGTCTCAGTTTCCTAATCTGTAAAATGAGAGATTAGGTCTGGATGGCTTCAAAGGTCCCAGGAGGCTA